GTTTAGTTCTTATGTTTTCTTCTATGCATTTTATTGTTTCAGGTCTTATATTCAGGTCTTTAATCCATTTTGCGTTAATTTTGGTGTGTGGTGATACACAACAGTCTAGTTTCATTCTTTTTCAGGTGGCTTTCCAGTTTCCCAGCACCATTTATTGAAGAGACTTTCCTTATTCCACTGTATGTTTTTGGCTTTTTTGTCGATAATTATTTGCCCATATAAATATGAGTTTACTTCTGGACTCTCAATTCTGTTTCATTGGTTAGTGTGTCTGTTTTTCTGCCAATATCATGCCGTTTTGGTTATTGTCGCTTTGTAGTATAATTTGGCTTGTAAAGTTTTTGCTGCTGAAAAGTCCAATGATAATCTAATCGGTTTTTCTTTATAGGTTACCATCTTCTTTTCCCTGGCTTCCTTGAGAATTCTTTCTTTGTCATTAAGTTTTGATAGTTTTAATATAATGTCTTGGAGAAGGCCTTTTTGGGTTAAGATAATTAGGTGCTCTCTTTGCTTCCTGGATTCAAGAATCTAATTCTTTCCATATGTTTGGGAAATTCTCATTAACTATTTGTTTGAATAAGCTCTCTGTTCCCTTTTCCATCTCTTCTCCTTCTGGTATACCCATTATTCTTATACTGATTTTTCTATTGGTGTTAGATAGTTCTTGTATTTATTTATTTATTTTTTTTCTACTCTCAAGTTTCCCTCTTCTTTCTTCTGTGTCATCATCTGCATCCCAGCTTTGTCTTCTATATAACTAATTCTTTTCTCCATCTGGTCATCTCTATTTCTTAAGCTTGCTATCTCATTCTTCATCTCTTTTATTGAGTTCGTCAGCTCCAGAAGTTCTTTTTTGGAATTTCAATTTACTCGGTAAAGTATTTGTGTTGTTCATTGATTTCCTTTCTAAGTTCATTGACTTGTTGATCAGAATTTTCTTGCATCTCATCAAGTTTTTTCAGAACTACAATCTTGAATTTTCTGTCACTTAAATTACAAATTTTATACCTTTCAGTTTGTTTTTTGGAGATTTTTATTTTCTTTCTGAGCTGCCTTGTCACCTTGGTTGTTCATGGTATTTCATGGATTATTTCTTTACCCATGCATTAATGAGAATGTACTCTGCTTGCTTATGTATGTATGTATGTATGTATGTATGTATGTATTTTTATTTAGAGTGATCTGTCTTTAGCAGGTAGATAAGAATAGGTTTTTCTTTTGTTTTCCAGTAGGTGGAGCCCAAGCCTCCTGACCTCCGCTTTGTGGCAAAAAGAAAAAAAAAAAAAAAAAGCCCTTAATTCCCGGGGGAGGTTTGTGTCTCCTGTGACCAGGTGATATGGATTCCAGGGCTCCACCCCCATGGAAAAATGTGAAGGATGATGGGAGTCCAAGCCTCTGAAGAACCCCCGAAGTCCTGGTACTGCCCCAGAAGCCAGATGAGTGCTGTGCTGCTTCCTCCCGCATCAGCCTGGATGGGTGGGGGTGGGGTGGAGAGGCTGCCAGTATGTCTGTGGCTGTTTTCTTTCCTGTTATGCTGGCTGCCAAGCTTTAGCTTTCTTACTTCTATATCTTTACCACTGTCACTGGGACCAGCCATAGTGTGTGTCTTAGTTCCCGTGGTACTCATTGCTACAGTTTACCCGGGGGTCGGGGGCGGGGGGCGCTGCTAGCTATAGTGGAGTGAGGGAAGGCGGCCAGGCTCCATGACTCAGCTTTCTGCCCGGCAATGCGGTTGCTAAATCATAGCTGTCACCCTTCTGTATTCTGTCTCTGCCCTGTTCACTGGGCCCTGCCACGTGGAATATGCTGCTCATTCAGGCAAGACTGTTTGGGGCTATAGAGAGTGAAAGCAGCCACCTAATTACCCCCCCCACCCCCACCCCCACATAGCACTGGGCTATGTCCATAGCACTGGTCCGCACTCCTCTCTCTTTCCACCTCTCTTGCTTGCCCAATTTGCCAACCTTCAGATGTTCTGATGTGCAGATCTCTCAGATGTGTTTGTGTGCTAGGCTGGGTGTTTTCTGTTGGATTGTAGCTGTTCAGTTTATTACAATTTCAAGGGGAGAGATTAAGCGGACCCCTCATGCTGCTATGCTTCTGACATCACTCTACACATCTTCTTTATCCAATCATCTATTGAACAATTGGGTTGGTTCCATATCTTGGCTATTGCAAATTACGTTGCAATGAACATAGAGGTGCATATATCTTTTTGAATTAGTGTTTTGGATTTCTTTGGATAAACACGCAGAAATAGAATCGCTGTGTCATATGGCAGCTTTATTTTAAATATTTTTTAGGAATCTCCATATTGTTTTTCATAGAGGCAGCACCAATTCACAATCTCACCAACAGTGTACAAGGATTCCCTTTCTCCACATCCTCACTAGTGCTTGTTATTTGTTGATATTTTGATGCTAACCAGTCTAACATACATGAGGTGATATTTCATTGTGGTTTTGATTTGCATTTCCCTGATGATTAATGAGGTTGAGAATCTTTTCATATGTTTGTTGGCCATATCTGCATGCCTCCTTTGGAAAAATGTCTATCCAGGTCCTCTGCCCATTTTTTAATCTGATTGTTTGGGAATTTTTTTGGGGGGGGGCGGTGGAGGGTGTTCCTTATCTATTTTGGATATTAACCCCTTATTGGATATATCATTAGCAAATATCTTCTCCCATTCAATAGGCTGTTTTTTCATTTTGTTGATGGTTTCCTTTGCTGTGCAAAAACTTTTAGTTTGATGGAGTTCCATTTGTTTATTTTTTCTTTTGTTTCCTTTGCCTGAGGAGACATTTCTAGAAAGGTATTGCTATGATATGTGTCAGAGTCTACAGCCTGTGTTTTCTTCTAGGAGTTTTATGGTTTCAGGACTTACATTTAAGCCTTTAATCCACTTTGATCCAGTTTCATTTTTTTTGCATGTATCTGTCAAGTTTTTCCAACGCCATTTATTAGACTATCTTTATCCCATTGTATATCCTTGCCTCCTTTCTAGTAGATTAATTGACCATATAAATGTGAATTTATTTCTGGGTTTTCTATTCTGTTCCATTGATCTATGTGTCTGTTTTTATGCTGGTACCATGCTGTTTTGATTATTATAGCCTTACAGTATAGTTTGATATCAGATAGTATGATGCCTCCAATTTTGTCCTTCTTTCTCAAGATTGCTGTGGCTATTTGGAGTCTTTTATTTTTCCATATAAATTTTAGGAATATTCATTCTAGTTCTGCAAACAATGCCACTGGCATTTTGGTAGGGATTGCATTGGTTCTATAGACTTCTTTGGATAGTATGGATATTTTAACGATGTTAATTCTTCCTATCTATAAGCACGATATATGCTTCTATTTATTTGTATCTTCTTCAATTTCTTTCTTTAATGTTTTATAGTTTTCCAAGGACAGGTCTTTTACTTGCTTGGTAAAATTTTTTCCTAGGTTTGATGCAATTGTAAATGAGATTGTGTTCTTAATTTCTCTTTCTGATAGTTTGTTATTGGTATATAAAAATGCAACTGATTTCTAAAAATTAATTTCACATCTTACTACTTTACTAAATTCATTTATCAGTGCTAATGGTTTTCTGGTGGAATCTTTAAGGTTCTCTCCATTTAGTATAATGCCATTTGCAAATAATGACAGTTTTACTTCTTCCTTTCTACCTAGATGGCTTTATTTCTTTTTCTTGTTTGATTGCTGTGGCTAGGACTTCCAATACAATGTTGAATACAAGTGGTGAAAGTGGACATCCTTGTCCTGTTCTTGATCTTTAGAAAAACATTTTTAGTTTTTCCCCATTGAGTATGATGTTAGCTGTGGGTTTGCCATATATGGCCTTTATTATGTTAAGGTATGTCCCCTCTATTCCCAATTTGCTGAGAGTTTTTTTTTTTTTTAATCATACATGGATGCTAGATTTTGTCAAAGGCTTTTCCTACATCTATTGATATGATCAGATAATTTTAATTTTCCAATTTGTTAACGTGGCATATTACATTAATTGATTTGTGAATATTGAACCAAACTTGCATCCCAGAAATAAATCCCACTTCATTATGATGTGATCTTTTCAACATATTGCTGAATTGGGTTTGCTAATATTTTGTTAAGAATTTTTGCATCTATGTTCTTCAGGGTTATTGGCCTATAATTTTCTTTTTTTCTCTTTCTTTTCTTTCTTTCCTTCTTTCTTTCTTTCTTTTTTTTTTTTTTTTTGTAGTGTCTTTGTCTAGTTTTGGAATCAAGGTAATGCTGGCCTTGTAAAATGAGCTTGTGAGCCTTCCCTCCTCTTCAATTATTTTGGAATAATTTGAAAAGGATAGGTGTTAATTCTTCTTTGAATGTTTGGTAAAATTCACCTGTGAAGCCATCTGGGTCAGGACTTTATTGAAAATATTTGATTACTGATTTGATTTCATTAGTAGTGGGTTTGTTTAGGTTTTCTACTGCTTCATGATTTAGTCTTGGAAGATTGTATGTTTCTAGGAATTTATCCATTTCTCCCACAGGGTCAGGACTTTATTGAAAATATTTGATTACTGATTTGATTTCATTAGTAGTGGGTTTGTTTAGGTTTTCTACTGCTTCATGATTTAGTCTTGGAAGATTGTATGTTTCTAGGAATTTATCCATTTCTCCCACATTGTTCAATTTCTCAGCATATAATCGTTCATAGTTTTAAAAATGTAATTCTTTGTATTTCTGTGGTGTCTGTTATCATTTCTCTTTCATTTCTGATTTTATTTATTTGGGTCCTCTCTTTTTCTCTTGATGAGTCTGGTTAAAGGTTGACTAATTTTGTTCATCTTTTCAAAGAACCAAATCTTAGTTTCATTGATCTTTTGTATTTTTTTTAGACTCTATTTCATTTATTTCCACACCATTCGTTATTTTTTTTTTCTTCTACTCACTTTGGGCTTTGTTTGTTCTTCTTTTTCTAGTTCCTTTAGGTTTAAGTTTAGCTCGTTTATTTGATATTTTTCTTATTTGTTGAGGTAGGTCTATACTGCTATGCATTTCCCTCTTAGAACTGCTTTATCTGTGTCCCATAGATTTTGGATCACTGTGTTTTTATTTTAATTTGTCTCAAGGTATCTTTTGATTTCTTCTTTGATCTTATTTTAACCCATTTGTTGTTTTAGTAGCATGCTATTTAGCCTAAATGTGTTTCTGTGTTTTTCAGTTTTTTTCTTGTAATTGATTTTTAGTTTCATACATTGTGGTCAGAGAAGGTCCTTGACATGATTCCAATATTCTTAAACTTATTGAGATTTGTTTTGTGGCCTAATATGTGGTCTATCCTGAAAAATGTTCCATGTGCACTTAGTAGAGTGGCTTTATGGAGTAAGTGCCCTGTGGGGCCTAGTGGTGCAGTATTCCTGGTCACCTGAGCTGGGTACTCCAGGGGTGGCCCTTGAATGGGATGTGTGTGATTCCTTTTGTAGTTCTGCCTTGATTGCTGTTGGCACATCAGTGGGAGAGATTAACCCTGAGGCTGACGGGTTGTGAGGCCTGGCTGTGATTTCAGTGGATGAGCTGTTGTGCATGGGGTGACCCCACAGAATGACATTCACTTTAGCAGGGCTCTAGTGCCTGCCAACTCCACTGTGTGGGTGTGTTAATTGTGGAGTTGGGTGGGTGGTACTCTGGTGTGATCTGAAGCTGTCCGCTGGGTGTGTTGGTTCTGAGGCCTCTTGTGGGGGCACTCCAATGCAAACCAAGATCAGCTTCTGCCTGTGCTTGGCCTGGTGCCATTTGGTAGAAGCTACAAAGCGACCTACAGGTGGTTGCTGCTTGCGCTGGGCTTGGAGTTTCCTGGGAGAGCCTAAGCTATGAACTGAGGCCAGCTATCACTCGTTCAGGGCCCGGGGCCATTTAGCAAGAGGTAGGGGCAAACCAAGGCCAGATGCTGCTTGTTTAAGTTTGTGAACCTTTGAGAGATTTTAGGAAAGTCCATAGTGTGAGCTGAGGCCGGCCATTTCAGTGGCACTGCCTGCTGAAAAAGACTCCAGCTGGTGGGCAAGAACACCTCTTATTCTTCTCCTTACTGACCTTGTTTACTGCCATTTCCTCCACTAGAATAAAAGGTTCAGGAGAGCAAAGATTTTTGTCTCGGTGCAAGGATTTAAAAATTATTTTCTTTAATGTTTTTAAAGCTTACATAGTTTCTGGTCCACAGTAGGTGCTCAACAATTTACTTGGTGGCCATGGAGGGCAGTTCCTTGTGCCAGGATGGCTAGCTCCTGTGTGGCATCCTGTTGTTTTTTGGAGTCTGGAAGGTGAGGGTGACAGCAGCCAGGCCTGGGTCCCAAGTCTGGGTGCTCAACTCCAGTTGCCTTGCCCTCTTCTAATTTCTGAAACCCCTTTGCTGTGCAGCCCCCGCACCTGCCCATGAGCCTCCTATTTACCCTCAATATACTTATTACACACGTATTTGCACAAATGTTCCCCACGTCTGTTGGTCATTTGACTTTGCTGGTAGTTATACATAAAAATCAATTTTGCTTAAACTTTATGAGGTCAAATTTATTTGATTTTCCCTTTTAGGTTTTGGGTTTTTTTTGGTTTTTTTTTAATTCTTTACGAAGCTCTCCACTCTGAAACTAAAGAATAAAAATGATTCATCCATGTTTCTACGAGTACTTTCATGGCTTCAGTTTTATAGTTCGTGCTGTCCGAAGATCCTTGCAGGGGTTTCCAAGCTCGCCTTGTGGAGTATGGGAACTGCTAGTGCAGCTCTGAGAAGCCTGGGCAGGTGCACTGTCTTGCTCACATCTTTGGGAAATTTTCCATGTCCCCTCCAGGGCTTGGAAGCAGCAAGCACCGCCATGAGGGACATGTGGGGAGACTGTCCCCTTCCCAGCAGCCATCCCTGGTGGAGAATGATGATCCTTAGGATCTCCTGAAAAAAATTTCCAAGTCTACCTTTTGCTTTCAGGGTCCCCTCAAGAAGGCCAAGGAACTCCAAGGGAAATGTCTGGGTTTGCGCCAGATGCCTTCCACCTGGCTAATGACTTGATCTGAGAGATGTGATCCTAGGTGGGTCAGGAGGAGGTCAGGTGGCCTGGACAGGGGTGGGGTGGGGCAGGGGAGGGTGGGAGGTGAGCGCTGGACTGTGGGTGATCTGGCTCCATTCTGCTTACCTTTGCGCAGTTTATCATTTGACACCTGATGGCTGCTTTTATATATTTTCTTTTCCTTCTGGCACTCAGGCAAAATATGCAAGGAATGAGATTTGACTGATGTTCGGGAAGCAGAGTTCCAGGTAGCTGCAGGACCAGCAAGATCATGCTCGCTGTGCCAGGGCATTTGGCGCTTCCTCCACTCGCAAGAAATTAGATCTGCATAGTTGTGGGTTGTAAGGCTGGTGCTGAGCTCTGGAAATGGGGCGAGGTGTTGCAGGCAGGTCGACCAGCCTATGCTGGTGCCCCTTGGCCCATGGGTCTGACTTGGACTGCTGTGAGGAACAGGAGATGTTGTCTGAGCCTGACGCCATCCTTTGTGGTCCCTGTGTTTGTACTTTCCATTCTCAATTTTTCTGAGTCTCTCCTGGAACTGAGGACTGGATGTATGGTGAAGGCACCATAGCTCTCCAGCTGTCCCACGTGTATCTTGGTCATTGGAACTTTAAGATTGTTATAAGTCCCCTCTCTGGAGCTGGGGACAAGTCTTGGGTGGCCTAGAAGAGGAGGCATGTGGAGGTTGTTTCCTGCACTCCACGTCTAATGATGGGAACTGAGATGACCCGGGCCCACAAGACCACCAGCAATGTGCTCTTGTTATCTTGGAGACCCATATCCATCCTGAAGCCATATTTGTCAATGGTGCCGCATTACCCTATGATAATTTTTAGTTTTTTTGTTTGTTTGTTTGTTTTCCGAGCTCTGTGCGAAATGGTCCTGGGAGCATTCAGGTCGTGGAGCCTGAGGCAGACTTTGGAGGCCATCTACAAGAACGGGATTGTCCAGGTGGTGGCTCTGTGAGGGTGGGGATCGACTGCCGGAAGATAGGACCAGCAACTATGTGGGGAAGTGGCCACTTCCATCCCCTCCTCATCTGGTCTCTCACTGCTGAGAAATTTGTGGTTCCACCAACACATGAAGGTTCCCTCCACTTAAGATAATTCACCCACAATGTTGTAGGCAAACTAAGAAGGAGGATGCTAAGGGCCTGGCCATAGTCCCACATGGGATCCAATAGTCTTAGGTGCCTAACAAAGTTTTCTATCTCTTAGAATAGTGGACTGGCATTGGCCATCCTGAGAGGGTCAAGGAGGAGATTCTAAGCCTGGCAGTGGTCCTGCAGTGTCTATGGTTGTCAGAGGCTCCTCCAGGGAATTTTAAGTCTCATTCCAGAGATAGGGAACAGCCTCTGCAGGCTCAGGCCTTGGAGGACACCCCAAGTTGAGAAATAGGACCACTGGTAAACTGGAACAAGGTCCGGTTTCCAGTCTGGTGGCAGTGCACCTTCACCTCCCTGCTATTTGGATCCTTTCCAGTGATGATTGCACTATTTGCGTGTCACCTGGAGGCTGTCCCACAAGGTCAACCAGATTTCCAAATGGCAGTTGGGAGGAAGGAAAAAGTGAAATGTCTGAAGAATTTTTCTGCTATAATTGACATTTGGTATGAAGTAAACATAAGCAAGACGAGAAATCCTGATGTTTATGGTAATAACAATTACCGTTTTCCTTGTTACTCATCATTATTGTAATTATTACTATTGTTTGCAGCTAATTATAAAAACACTGAATAAAATGTCTCTTCACAGAGTAACTGACTGAAGACTATGGAAGAGTTTCCTTATGTCTAATTTCTTAAATCCCCTTGTGAGCCAGGGAACTCACCCCAACCCTTGAAGGCCTGATAACAATCTGCAACAGCCATCCCAGAAAGCCAGACCACAACTTCTGCTGCGATGTGCCCCAAACAGTCAAGGACTTGGTCAATGACTGACAGCTTCCTCATTTTTAATCTTTTTTAAATTTTAATCATTTAAAAATTTTGATTTTGAACCAAACAGGGGAAAGCCAAATATGTTTCCCTAAGCAATCAGGTAGAATGCCCTTCTTCTAGTCAGCCCACCTCCTAGTCAGTTCACCTCCAGCTTCCCCACATAACAACCTCTGATCAGAAAATGACTTTCTTTTTTCTAACCCAAAGCTTCCCACTCTTCTGCCTGCCTTTGAGTCTCTGCCAAAAGCAAATGATCATGGCTGACTCCTTTGCTATATAAGGCAAGCTCTAAATAACTAGTGCTTGTTCTCATTTGGGTGGTCTGTGTTTACCTCCACAGAAGCTAGAGTAGAGTGAGAACCAAACACTCAGGATAATATATGTTTACTGTGTTAATTCTTTTTTAAAAATGTATTTATTCATCACGCAATTTTAAAAATTGAGATCTAATTCACATATCATAAAAATCACCCTTTTAAAAGTGTACGGTTCAGCGATTTATAGTCTGTTCACAACTTGTTCAACCACCATCATTATTTAATTCCAGAACATTTTCATTACCTTTAAAGAAACCCAGTGTCCATTAAACAGTCACTACTCCTCCACCCTCCCCACCAGCCCTTGGCAACTGCCAATGTGCTTTCAGATTTGCCTGTTCTGAATAGAATCATACAATATGTGGCATTCACGTCTGGCTTTTTACACTTAACATCATGTTTTCAAGGCTCATCCATGTGTCAGTGATTCATTCCTTTTTTCTGGCTTAAGAATATTCCATTCTAAGCTATAAGATTTTGTGTGTGGGTGTGTGTGGGTGTGTATTCACATGCTACCAAAGTACTTTCTTTAAAGATAATTTTTAAATTTTTCAGTTACAGTTGGCATACAATATTATATTGGTTTCAGGTGTACAACATGGTGATTAGACATATATAACTTAGAAAGTGATCACCGTGATAAATCTAGTACTCATCTGACATACAATAATATTACAGTATTATTGACTATATTCCTTATGCTAGTCCTTTTTTATTATTTGTGGAAAATACACATAAAATTTGTCATTTTAACTATTTGAAGTGTACTGTTCACTAGCATTAACTACTGCCTTCCTGCCTGGCCTTGAATTGCCCTACCCACCTGGAACCACCAACAAGCTGAGAGGGCACCAGCCCAGCCATGCCACCCTTCCTCAAAACCTTTCACACCATCTGTGGGTGCGCCCCCACGGTGGCAAAAAGGGGAGCTGCTGAGAAAGAAAGACTCTGGCGAAGACTGCAGCCCCATTAAGAAGGACCGATGAGAATCTAAGATGTCTTCTTTCCTACCTCCCTTCCTTGCCTCCCTTTTTTTATATCCGTCCACAGATTCCAAATGCATGGTTAATATTATCTGAGTCACAAAAATCATCTCTATATTATCCAGGCATGTTCAAACACATTCATGTCATTTAATTAACATAAACGTAACCTGCTATTAAAGGCCTGAAGAATTAGTTATGCTTGCTGGGTCCATTGCTTCCATCACTAACATCTGCAGGGGAAATCTCCTACGGAGCTTTCTCCTCGCTAACATTTTGACACTTCTAGAGGAGAGTGTAGGGAGCTAAAGCTCCCCAAATTCAAAAGAGTGCATGGTTTATCTCGGGAGGCCTGCTTGCATAAAAAAGAAAAGGCTGGTTCTGTGGAATTTCAGGAAGAAGAAGATTAAGTATAGCCTAAGGGAGTGTCGAAGGGAGTGTTAATTGAAGTGTCAATTGCACCTCGATCTTCAGGATGTTACTTTTGTGTTGTTTTGGGATACACAGAGGAACAGATTGTGTTTAAAAGGAGGAGAAGAAATAAACTCGGAGAGACAGTTGTGAGATCTGTTCTCCCTCCTGCACCCTGTCTGTCTTCTCTTTTTTCTCAGTCCCCGCTCCCCCATTCAGGTACCCGGTTTGACTTGGTCGGCTGGCTTCCGACAGGAGAGGTCAAATCTGGACTTAGGTTTCCAAGTAGCAACTGCTTTCATTTATGAAGTATAAATCAGAGGTGACATCAATTAGCATCATTGTTACATGCAGTCATTGCTGACATACTACATATTCTACTGATGCAGAGTGAAAAGTGACCCAGATTCACATACACCAGGGCTGAGTGACTCTCCCCCATGAGTCAGCCGAGGATGAGATTGCATTTCCCATATCACCAAGTTTATCATTAGTTAAACGATTATTCTCACACAGCAGCCCCCGGACTGTGCATGGATTATTTGGAGAATATCAGATCTGCGACCTTGTAAGAATTACGTTAGTCTTACAAGTGCACAGACTTTATCCATCAGCAAAAGTATTCTAAAATCAAAAGTTGTATTGCCAAATAGAATGATTACATGTTTGTTTTGACGGCATCATCACGAATCTACAGATAAGATGGGTAGACCGATATTTTAACATGCAGGCAGGAAGGATGTGGACCTAGATGGCTCCTGCTGACTTCATATGACTGTGTGATTTAAAATGGCAGGTGGATCAGTAAAGTGGCAGGTCAGTGACACTGTCACAACTATTTTAGGACTTGTAAATATTTGTATGAGCCTGTTCCAAAACCTTAACATATAAATCACCTTAACAAGAAATCACTCTGATAGTGTCTGGGTCCCTAATAAACCTCTCAGAAGTCAAATAAGTTATATAATGTGTTATTTGCATATATTTTAAGAAGATGTTTCCAAAGATAAAAGCATACTAATGATGGCTATATTACTATGACATAATGAAAAAGCAGAGTTTCCCAAAGTGGCTATTTAGTATTTACTAAATGCACTGAAAGAGCTTTAAAAATATATATGAATTATTATGCCTCACCCTTCACTGGATTAGAATCCACAGTGAGAGAAGGGCCAAGAGATTTGTTATTTTAAAAACTCTCCAGGTGATTCTGACACCACCCAGCTTTGGAAAGCAATGCTGAGATCATCACGTTCCCAACTTCATTGTGCATTAGAATCACCTGGGGTGTTATACTGAATATTCTGTGTCACACAGTTTGGAATGGGGCTTGAGATTCTGCATGTCCACAAGTTCCCAGTGGGGCTGACCTTGCTGATCCTCAGACCACACTCTGAGTAGCAGGTTGTAGAGTCCCTGTCTAGGTGCATATCTACCTGCCTGCCACCTTTGTGGTTGTGTTGGGCCCAGGTATAAACTGCAGGGTACACCTTCTACCCCTTCAGTCCTTTCCTCCTCCCACTGCACCCAAATCTCTACTGGTGCTTAGACTTGTGTTCAAAGGAGGACTCAGCTCAGGGTTGGACCCTCCCTGTTGCTTCCTCCACTGTCCTTTGCAGGACCAGCATCAAAAGGAACTGAAAGTACATCACTTGTGATAGGTTTACCTGGTGTAAAAGGTTTAGGGAGACAAAGATCATGATAAAAATCTGGAAATGTTCTGTACCACTGTTATTGAGCTACAAAATAGTAGTGGTGTGGAGAGGAGACACAATAATATACAACATTATAAATGAGTACCTGCTCTTCTCTAACACATGAATCAGGGAGAGACAGCCATCCTTTCTCACTAAAGCTCCAGAAGAATAGAAACATCATTAAGCATATCAGCTCCTACAGGATAGGCCTAGTGAAAGGCCATTTTCAGCTGGTTTAAGAGGCCACTTGTGATCTGTTGGAAGCCACCATCCCAAGCACAGAATGGATACTAAAGGTGGTCTACTTTGCTTGTGGTGGCCGGTTCAGCTCCCTAGATCCTGAGCTTCTCTCGATTCTCAATAAAAATGCTTGTTAGTCGAATACAGATCACTAATGTGGATATGGAAGCAAAAAAAGAAAGGAAGGAAGGAAGGAAGGAAGGGAGGAAGGGAGGG